GCTGTCGGTCACATGGTCGGGTCTCCCGGTTACGCGGACCCACACTTAGGGCTGAGCACGGTTCGGTTCGGTTCGGTTTTTATCAAATTTTAAACAACCGAACCGAACCAACCATTACTCAAAACCGAACCGAACCGTTGCAAGTCGGTTCGGTGCGGTTCGGTTCGGTTTGTCGGTTCTAACTTCATCGAACTTAAACAGCCAAGCTGCCATAATCCAACAAAAGGGGGAGAAAAATGCATCTCTACATTGAATATTACAGAACATGTAGGAAGAAGACAAATAGAATGCAAGAGTAAAGCAAAATGTATAAAAACAATAAAAAGTATAGCTATTGACCCATTCTTTGCTCTCGAAGCATGCCTCCCGTCGACTTCTCTATCTGCTTCAGGTTGTCCATCAGAATCCCTTGGTCCAGAAAACTTCGTGAACTTTGAGCCATCAGATTCACCATCCTACAGTAGTTTGAGGTAAAGAAGGACATGAACCCAAATAATTGGAGAAGCTAGCTGATGGCATAAAGACAGGCAAAAATTAAAAGAAGAGGGTTTTTTTGTGTTGGGTCAACGAGAATTTGCTGGAAGTTAGCAACATGAACGCAAGAGATGAAGATTAATGTTCTCAAAAATTAAGAAAGGGTTAACAGAAGAAACCGAAGCCAGTGAAAGAAGAAACCAAAATTGAAAATTTGAAAGAAGGGGGAAGAACCCCTCTTTGGCCCTTGAGGTCTTCGTTAACAGAGCTCATTTTTCCTTGGCAAGCTGAGAGCTTTGTGGGTTTTGCTTCTATTTTTTAGAGTATATAGTGAGTGAGTGAGAGAGGTCAAGCTTGTCCATTTTGAGGGCATGTTTTTTCTTCTGTTTCACCCTCCACACCCGCCGTTCGCAATCCCCCAGCGAGAGAGATCAGAGGGGGGAAGTGCGGATAGAGAAAGAGATGAAGTGCGGTTTGCGGGTGACGGCGGAACTGCGGAGGGAGGACAGAGAGAGAGTGAGAGAGAAGAACTGAGGAAGGGGTGGCGGCTGTAGCGTGAGGGCTTGGATTTAGGGTTTAGGATGAGTGAACGGGTCGGGTTTGTAATGGGTACGGGTTAAAAAATTAAAAGGTTATTAGTAATGCGGTCGGTTCGGGCGGTTCGGGCTAAAAAATTTTAAACCCGACCCGAACCGATCTACAAACAAAACCGAACCGAACTGCTAATTTCGGGTCGGTTCGGTCGGTTTTTTCAGTTTGAACCGAACCATGCTCACCCCTACCCACACTACTTGCGAACCGGTATAATCTCAAAAAAGAGCGACGTGTACAGCTTCGGGGTGTTGATCTTGGAGATGGTTACTGGAATCGCAGCCGTTGGATTGGATGATGAGAAGATGTTGACGGTTGTGATGAGAGAGAGGGGGTGGGACCGGTTGGAGGAGATTGTGGACCCTACACTTCGCACGAGCTTTGATGCTGGTGAGCTGGAGGTTTTGGGTGATATTGCGGGTAGGTGTGTGGGTGACCGGCCGGGGTTGAGGCCGTCGATGGGCGAGATTTTGAGAATTATGAGGGAGAGAGTAAAATTGTAAGATCAGTATTTTGTGAGGGGCTTTTGTAAGAAAATTTCGAGAGAAAGTAGGTTTACGAGGGAATAAGTGAGAAGGTGAGGGGTGATTTCGGAAATGATGTGTAAATATATTTGTTTGGTAAAAGGATGGGACGGGTTTGGTTGCTCACGTGACAGCGACGCTTGGTTTGTATTCGTTGACGTGTTTGGGCACGTGACGAGCTATTATACATAGATGTTTAGTTTTTTTTTTTGTGAAGAAAAAAATATTCTGCCTCTAGTTGGGGTTTTTCTTGGCTTTTGATGGTAGCGAGGTATGTGTGAGGTAAGGAAGGATATTAGTATAGCTATAAATTGTTGTCTCTCTCTTAGATTGGACAACATTTGAGATAATTAAGGGTTAAAAAGGAATTCGTATGATAATCTCAAATTAAGCAATCGATATTCACTGCTAAAAAATAAGGTATCCTAGACGGGAAATTCCGTCTAGGATACTCAAAATTTCGTCTAGAATGGGTATTCTAGACGGAATTCCGTCTAGAATAGCCGTCTAGAAAGTTTCCGTCTAGGATACATTATTCTAGACGGAAATTCCGTCTAGAATACATTCTAGACGGAATTCAAAACCATCTAGAATACATCCTAGACGGATTATTCTAGACGAAAATTTCCGTCTAGAATAATATATCCTAGACGGAAAAGATTTCCGTCTAGAATGATTATTCTAGACGGAAATTTCCGTCTAGAATGATTATTCTAGACGGAAATTGTTTTTTTAATTTTTTTAATTTTAAAAAGGTATCCTAGACGGAATTTCAGCATCCTAGATGGAATTTCCGTCTAGGATACTTGCTACAGTGTTTTTTTTTTCAGAATCTGCTTTTGGGTCATGTACACAATATTGAAGAACAACTAAATTATATTCATATAAATTAATTATATATATTATTAAAACAAACAATTACAACATTAAAGTTCCAATACTAATTCAATATACATATAAAATATAAGTTTCCCGACATTACAAGCTATTAGATACTTGAACAATTTACACTTTTTTTCATGCTAAAGTTTCCCCACATTACAAGCTCACCCCTAAAGTTTCAAAACTTTTAATGTAGTGCTCTAGCTAATAGCTGATTGAAGTCAGATCCTGCAATATCTTTGACATTTGAACCATTCTTGTAAATTTTGAAGGCCGGCGTTGTGCTAATGTTCTCTGACTTTGCTAAGCTTCGGCACTCTTCTATATCCACCTACAAAGATATCATAAACTACGCATTATTCAAAATATCTATGCATAAAACCATAAAAGAACAAAGAATAAAGCAAGCCATCTATTCGCGCAATGATGGTTTAAATAGTCCTGACAGCTAATTATTTCATTTTACATGTTTGAAGAACAAAGATTTAACCTAGAAAAGTTCAGAGAGTACATAGCATGAAAAGTATAAAATTATCATCAGACTTCTAATTGCGATCCTTACCTTGATACATACCATATTGGATTCCAAGTCTCTGGGTGAGCTGAAGAGGAAAATTCAATTATAAACAATACAAATAATGTGTTAAACACACTAAATAAACACAAAGTTATAGCATTATAAACTTACAGTTACTCATAGCTCAAGTATATCGTTGTTCTTATTCATTTTTCAGTTTCTTTTTCTTTGTCTGATCTTTGGCACCCATTCCTCCCTCTTATTTGTTTGAATATGTGTAACCTGCACCAACATATGTAACCTGCACCAAAGATAAAAACAGCAAATTAAATATGGGTAAATAGCTCAAGTATATGCAAGAGATGTAGACATATAACAAGCAATGCAAATAGCATACAACTCTTAAGTTTTTTTAATATCTAAATAAATAAATTCATAAATTTGTGAGTTGCATATAAACTAGTGATGCTTAGCATACATCAAAAGAGCAATCCAATTAACACATGTTTACATAAAAAAGAATCAGCAACATATCAATGGTTGACCTGTTCTAGTTTAAATCCTATTATATAACAAATATTTTTTTGTTAATTTATTCAAAAAAATAATGGTTTTAAGTGAGACCTTTGGTTTTCATTTCTACTAAATAATATAATAAAATTTAACCACAAGCATGCTTTGGACAAATGGTCTGCCGGCTCGACGCCGCCGCCGCCCTTGGACCTGGAGCTCAACCCCTCCATCCTCACGCTCGTCGCCAAGCTCCTAATTGCCGGCGACGACGCTGCCGAGGCCGAGGCAGAGGGATCCTCTCAGTTATTTTAGAAGGAAGTAGATAGAGAGGGGAGAGGGAGGAAGAAGGGTACGATCACGGCCGACTGTGGCGGCGGAGGAGGAGATGAGGTGGCACGCGGAGGAGAGGTTGTGGGAGTTCGGGAAGGGGTCCGGTGAGGAAGAGAGGAGGCGGGAGAGGTGGTGGAGGCGGAAGGGGTCCGGGGAAATGCCTTCGACGTTGAGAAGGCAAGTCCCTGAGCTTGGGCTGAGCCCTGGTCCAGATCCAAACTGGTCTTGGAATCTTGTAAAGAGATTCTTGAGGTGAATCTCCATGAGAATGACACTAAAAATCAGTTGAAATACTGTAAGATTCAAAAGTTATAATGAGTGTAGAATCAATATTTTGCAAAGAAGAACTCAGTTTCTTAGCTAGACCCCGGAAGTATAATATAAATAACTGCAATTCCAATGCAGATTACAGAAAACGTAGAGCTAAAAGATTGAATTTTTCATTTCAAACAACTGAATCCCTAAAGATCCTCAATTAAAAATCTCTATAAAGTGAATTCGAAATGCTAAGAAAAACCTAAATTTCTCTGAACAATGAAAGCACCCAATTCAAGGGGAGTTCCATTTCTAGTTGGCGTAATCAAAATCGCTAGACATGCCCAAAAGACAGGATTTTTATGCTTCAAGGAGTGAATTGAGATTGCTCAACAACATTATGAACATAAAAAATCAGAAATCTAATGAGAATGAGAAAAACCCAAATCGAAATGAGGCTGAGAGAGCACTCACCAGTTAGCTAGAATCAACAAATCTGCTGATGTGCACAAGATGAAAGCCTCCGAGATGTTGGCTCTGGACTCGGGGGAAGCCGGGGGTCGTCGGAGGGCTGATTGGGCGGCGGAGGGATGTCGGGGAGGCGGATGGTGACTGCGGTTATGAAAGGTGGCAGGTGGAGCGGCGTTGCTGCTGGTCGGAGGGGTTGACCGGGGTGGGAGGAGCGGCGGTGAGAAGAGGAGAGGCGGCTGGTCAGGTGTTGGAGGGTGAGCGAGGCGATGGTGGTGCTGGTCATGGAAGAGGAGCGGTGGAGGAGCTGGTGGCGGACGGTGAAGGTGATGAGGAGGAAGGGGATAAAGGGGCTGAGGATATGGGGATTTTTGGGTGAAGGCAGGAGAGAGAGAACGAAGATCGGTGTTTATTTTGGGTTGGGGGAGCGGGGGATTTTCGATTTGGGGGGGGGGGGTTTTTTTTATTTTTTTTTTTTGATGAGCCAAAACATCCTAGACGGAAATTTCCGTCTAGGATGTATCCTAGACGGAAATTTCCGTCTAGAACACTTGGTTATTTTAAAAAAATAAAAAACCGTCTAGAATACTATTCTAGACGGAATTTTCCGTCTAGAATGTTTTATTCTAGACGGAATATTCTAGACGGAACATTTCCGTCTAGTTTAATACATTCTAGACGGAAAAAATTCCGTCTAGAATATTCCGTCTAGAATACTTGATTTTCTACTAGTGATTACTATATATTAATAAGATTTCATCAATATCAATTAGTTTCTCAAATTAAGAAATTGGTATTACTATATATTTTCTCTCAAGATTTTCATTATTTGTTGCAACATATTCTATAGGTTTTCAGCTCATATGTACGTATTGTCTACACAGCTATATATAGACATGAATATAAATTTCTTCTCAAGCATTCAAAAATAAAAGAGAAATTTCACCAATATGTATTTGAGAAGCTAATTAATTTCACCAATTGTTTTTCTTCCAAACAGCAAAAAACTGTCAGTAGTTAGAATAAGTCAAAAGTTTCTCTTAATTTAGTTTAAATGTACTTATTGCATTCATTGACTAGTTTCAAAAACTTAACTGCGTATAAAATTCGCGCATTTTATATTGGATTAGTGTGAATTTAGTCTATGTGCTTTACATATAGTTCGAAATTCTTCAACTATACCTCTCATGAATAAAGAAACATTCATACTAACTGTGCTAAAAAAAATTCTCTTTATAAGGTTTAACTGTTTAAGTGTGTTTACGGCATAGCCGTGGTCCAAAGAGCAAATTTATTGCGAAAAGGTAACAGTGTAACTCTTAGTAGATTTTTGGTGAGTACGTAATAGTTAGTACAACTTGAATATTTGGAAAAGTTGAAAGTTAGAGATGAATCAAATTGAAATTTTTCATTCAATTCAATTTAATCTACCATAATCTAAAGATATATAAATATATATATAAAGATAAAGTTTTAAATATATGATAAACCAATTACAACTATTCCCTCATGCATTAATGTTAGATGGTGCATTATTTAATTTGTGCTAGGAGATAATGCACGTCTTACTAACTATTCCCTCATGCGTTAATGTTACAGTCTTTGGTAATATTTTCAGAATCTTTGTGCCAAATGGGATGACAATTTCACAATGTAAACTTAATGCATGAGGGGGTAAGTAAGACATGTTGTGCGCCGCGGAAGCCTCGAATAGCCAAAACAATAGCACACACAAGAACAAAATAGACCACAATAGACACAAGCCAACCAATCACAGCAAGAACACAAGATATACGTGGTTCGGCAATGTGCCTACGTCCACGGGGCAAGGAGGGGGGAGTTTCACTAATCAAATCAAAGGGGAATACAAATTAGGGTTACAAATCTTACCCAAAACCCTCAAACAAGATCACTTGATCTCTCCAATAGACTCCAACAAAAGAAGCCCTAGAAAATCCCCTTTGGCAGCTCAAAATCTCCCTTGCATAAAACCCTAGAACAGATTTGGGGTTTATATACAAGTTACAAAGAAAACGGGTCTGGAAAACCAACTTAAACCCAAAACCCGATAGTCGGTCGACCGCAGCACCACTGCCGGTCGACCGCAAAATATCCCGAGGTCCAGTCTGCTCTCTGGACAATTCGCGGTCGACCGCAGCGCTTCGTCCGGTCGACCGCCCAAATTCCAGAGGCACACTAAGAGTTGTGTGCACATATCGGTCGACCGCCCAACTTCCAGAGACATACCTCTGACTTTTCACCAACTCTACAAATCTCCACCTCGGCGAACGTTTATCCCAAAACTGAGCCGACACCAAAACACCCCCAATCAACTTCAACCGGCTGCATCTGCAAGACTGCCTACGTATCCTCTTGCCCAAGGAATCAAGCCGAACGTAGTTCATCCAAATGGCCGCCAACGGCCTCAACAACGAAGAATGTTCAATAAATTCAAACAGTGACCAAACTTCACACCTGGTACAACTTTGGTCAACATATCAGCAGGGTTATCCTTAGTGTGGACCTTCTCCAACGTGACATCACCATCATCTAATACGTCACGTACAAAGTGAAATCTGACATCAATGTGCTTCGTGCGTGCATGGTAGACTTGGTTCTTCGCCAAATAGATAGCTGACATACTATCACAATGTACCTGAATGGTCTCCTGTGCAATCCCCAAATCATCCAACAAGCCATGTAGCCACAAAGCCTCCTTCACTGCTTCAGTCACCGCCATATATTCCGCCTCCGTAGTAGAAAGCGCCACTGTAGACTGAAGAGTGCATCGCCAACACACCGGTGCACTAGCCAATGTAAACACATAACCTGTAGTTGACCGACGCTTGTCAAGATCTCCAGCATAGTCTGAATCCACGTAGCCAATACAATTCTGCCCTGCCTCATCATTCTTCGCAAATATCAACCCAACATCCACGGTACCCTTAATATACCGTAGAATCCACTTCACGGCCTCCCAATGCCCCTTCCCGGGGTTGTGCATGTACCTAGATACCATGCTCACGGCCTGTGACAAATCTGGCCTAGTACACACCATAGCATACATCAAGCTACCCACTGCGCTGGCGTATGGAACCTTGGACATGTAGTCCCTATCCTCCACTGAAACTGGTGACATCAAAGCTGAAAGCTTAAAGTGGGGAGCTAATGGAGTACTCACCACCTTGGTATTACCCTCAAAACTGAATTTCTTCAGCATCTTCTGCAAGTAACTCTTCTGTGTAAGCTTCAATCTCCCCTTCACCCTGTCTCGCTCAATCTCCATACCCAGTATCTTCTTAGCTTCTCCCAGGTCCTTCATCTCAAATTCTGATGACAGCTCCTTTTTCAATTTCCCAATAGCTGAAGTATTCCTGGAAGCTATGAGCATATCATCAACATACAATAACAAATAAATGTGCTCACCATCCTGTAGCTTGCGCATATAAACACATGGGTCATAAGGGCTCCTCATGTATCCTTGGCCAATCATAAAGCTATCAAATCTCTTGTACCACTGTCGCGGTGATTACTTCAGTCCATAAAGAGATTTCCTCAATTTGCACACCAAATTTTCCCTTCCTGCAGCTTTAAACCCCATAGGTTGTGTCATGTAGATCTCCTCGTCTAAGTCTCCATGTAGAAAGGCCGTCTTCACGTCCATTT